CTTTACGTGTGTAGATGATTGAGTGTGTCTACCTCTCACCATGTGAACACCTTTACGTGTGTAGATGATTGAGTGTGTCTACCTCTCACCATGTGAACACCTTTACGTGTGTAGATGATTGAGTGTGTCTACCTCTCACCATGTGAACACCTTTACGTGTGTAGATGATTGAGTGTGTCAGCCTCTCACCATGTGAACACCTTTACGTGTGTAGATGATTGAGTGTGTCAGCCTCGACGGCACCGCGCGACAGACACTCGTCGCCAACGCCCCGCACCCCTACGGTCTCACCGTCAGCGGTGACGCCATCTATTGGACCGACTGGCAACTGCGGAGCATCCAGCGCGCTGACAAGATGACGGGCCTCGGTGTCATGACGATCCGCGACAACCTGCCGAGCCTGATGGACATCCATGCGGTCAAGCTGGGCGCCGACGGTCAGTGCAGCTCGCCAGGTGGCAGCACGTGTTTTGTTTTTCTTTCGGGCGTCGTGTGAGATAGGCCTGGGGGCCCGGCGTCAGAAACAAAAATAGTGCTCACGTTAGTCTTAACATGAACTTTTTCTCGGTGACTATGAATAGAAATGTGGTTAAAAGCCGTAGCGGTCTGATCTATGAGAAAAACTCGTGTGAGACTCGTGATAAAACTTTTGTTTCTGGCAACAGATCTCAGGAGCATAGTATTAAATATTATACATGCCTGATGTTATTCCTTGGATCTCGTTGAGATTTCCAGTTGATTTAAAGTTTTCCCATGTTTTTCTGCATTGCTCGCATGGCTCTGTCGTGTGTCGGATAACAAGAGAACGCATCTAAGTGTTTTCTCTCGCGCGCAGGAGTGAACAAGTGCGGGGCTAACAATGGCGGCTGCAGTCACCTCTGCCTCTCCGCTCCCAAGGGCTTCGTCTGCGCCTGTCCCACGGGTCTGCTGCTGCAGGAAGATGGCGCCACCTGTGATAACAGTGAGTAATGGTCGACGCCTACGTCATGTGCGTATGCTGCTCTTCTGTTTCTTAGTGCCTGCGTGCTGGCTCTCTTCCTCATTTCGATTGATGGTTAACTGTACACAGTTATTCACTAATAAGATGTATGATGATTAGATGTTAGCTAAGCGATTGATGGTTAACTATACACAGTTATTCACTAATAAGATGTGTCATGATTAGAGGTTAGCTAAGCGATTGATGGTTAACTATACACAGTTATTCACTAATAAGATGTGTCATGATTAGAGGTTAGCTAAGCGATTGATGGTTAACTATACACAGTTATTCACTAATAAGATGTATCATGATTAGAGGTTAGCTAAGCGATTGATGGTTAACTATACACAGTTATTCACTAATAAGATGTATGATGATTAGAGGTTAGCTAAGCGATTTGGATGGTTAACTATACACAGTATTCATAATAAGATGTATGATGATTAGAGGTTAGCTAAGGCGATTGATGGTTAACTATTACACAGGTATTACTAATAAGATGTGTCAGATGAGAGAGGGTTAAGACAAGCGATTGCATGGTTAACTTATCACAGCTTATCACTAATAAGCATTATGATTGCATAGAGGTGGCTAAGCGATTGTGGAACTAGACACAGTATTCACTAATAAGATGTGTCATGAGTTAAGATCGTTAGTAAGCGATGATGGTTAAATTTACCTTATTACATAATAAGATGATGTCATGTGATTAGATGTTAGCTAAGCGATTGCATGGTATAACATACACAGTGGATTCATCTATAATAGCATGATGTCATGATAAGGTTAGCTAAGCGAATGATGGTTAATTATACACAGTTTTCACTAATAAGATGTGTATGATTAGAGAGTTGCTAAGCGCACTTGTGGTTAACTATACAAGTTTTCATAATAGATGTGTCATGAATTAGAGGTAGTCTAGCGATTGATGGTTAACTTTACACAGTTTTCACTATAGATGTATGATGATTGAGGTTAGCCTAAGCGGATTGATGGTTAAACTAACACGTTATTCCTAATATAGCATGTATGATGATTAGAGGTTACTAAGCGATTTGAGTGGTTAATTCAGTTATTCACTGAAGAAGATGTATTGATGAGTAGAGGGTAGTAAGGCGATTTGATGGTGTAACTAGTAACAGTTAGTTCACGAATAGAGGTGGTCTGATTAGAGGTTAGCGAAGCGATTGATGGTTAACTGAGTACAGTGATTCACTATAAGATGTATCATGTTATGGGTTAGCTAAGCGATGATGTAAATGTACCAGTGATTCACTAATACC